GCTTTACTAGTTCCAATGATACAACCATTACCAAAAAAAAAATAAAAAAAATAAAAATAAAATAAAATAATAATAATAATAATAATAATAATAATCGTCCTTGCAAGAAAAATCAAGTAATAGTCTAACATGCTTCAGGAGATACCCAATAATACCATGTTACCTTTGTAACCCATATACCGTTGATCTTGGAGTAAAGAAGAGCGTAGAACACACAGTTGTTGGTTAACAATAACATGAGCTCAAAAAAAACACCAATAGCCCTTAACATTAGGCAAAACAATTAGGAACAACAAACGACCTAGGCTTGACAACACATCAAGAGTCACTTAAACAAGTGGCTCGGTACGTACCCTTAACATACTAAGGGTACATTTGGCCTTTTTTCTAAGAAAAAGACTATTATTATCATACTAAAAACTCCCAAAAGAACCTTATGGGAGCCCCATGTTGAAGAGTAGGGTTGAGATAAAGGTTTTTCAAAGCAAAGAATTAAAGATCCACCGCTAAGCTGAAATAAAGGTTACCAATAGATAACCTTCAAACACTCTCTTGACCATAGAAATCAAAAGAGGTAACAACGGTCAAACAACTAGGCAAGACCAATCCTAGGAACCTAAACAGACCAAAATAAAAGAGCAATCCCCAAATTACCTGAACTTGAACACCAATACACTGTAAGAGGAGGCTAATAACACACCCCACTAGCTCCCTTATAAACAAGTTAAACTACTTGAAGTAACACAACCAAACCCAAATAGCACAACGACAAGAGTATTGAAGAACATCAAACATCGAAGCACAACAACAAGAGCATTATTCAATTTTGTGTCGCAAAGAGAGCCATAAAAATCAAATGATGTATACAAAACTCAAATAATATGTTGACAAAATTTGATCTCATATCTTAAATATCATACCAATACTTTAATCAATTAAATTAGTCATTCATAAATAATGTACTCACTACTCAGCTTGCAGCCAAGAATTAATAATGGCGTACATTCTCAGCTTAACACCAATCAAAAGTATACGAATGAAGTATATATTGTGTGAAAGTAGGAATAAGTTTCGAGTCTCTATACTCGTCCCTACATTATTATTCAAAAGAAAAGAAAAAGAAAACCACTAATTGTGTCTATGATCCATTTCACCACCACGTTATTCACACAAAATATATTATTGGTTTTAAGCTAAAAACGTTTTTGAATAATTCCATGTTCAGCAATCATTTTCATACGTTCTATATATAACTATTAAAGATAGAATTAGGAAATGTTCTTTAATATTTTTTATATTCTAAGAATTTTATAGATGTTATGATTAGCTTAATTTTCTATTGTCAAAAAGTATCATCATACTATATAAATTGTGATGGTGATTAATACTTTTTCTCGATAAAAATTCTTGTTTGAGCTCTTTTTGTAAAATAGGTATAGTTGATTGATATAAGGGCTTAACCAAAAAAATAAAAATAATAAAATACAAGGGCAAGTATATATATATATATATATATATATATATATATATATATATATATATATATATATATATATACACACACACACATATATATATATATATACACATATATATATATACACATATATATATACACACATATATATATACACATATATATATATACATACATACATACATATATATATATACATACATATATATATATATACATACATATATATATATATATATATATATATATATATATATATATATATATATATCATATTTCCTTCGTAAAAACCATAAGAAAAAGTGTATTAGAAATAAAAAAAAAATAATAAGAAGAAAAATCATAAGAAAAAGTAAATTAGAAGAAAAAAAAATTGTGATAAGGAAGAAGCTTTATAAAATTAGCATGGCCAGGGTCAGATCACATAAAGAGCTGATCTTTAGTCAATTTCAGTAAAAGCATCTATGAAAAATGAAAAATAGTTACAATCAATAACTCCATTTGCCGGTTAAAGCCTTATCACACAGTTCGTCATGTTATTATTCAATATAAACAGCTTATTCCCATTTAAGATGACAACTTTAAAGCCCTTCTTTAATTTCAATTATTTTTGGCGAAAAAAATCAACTAATAATTGCCGATGTCAATACAAATCTCTGTTATGGAAAATGCTAAAAGTCACAATTTGTGAAGAAAAATAGAAGTTGTCACAAACTTGTGTAAGCTACCTTTAGTATCACCCTTTCTAAAATGTAACCAAAAAATCAACTTAATTATGGCTTCAATAAAAGTTTTTATCTATTCTGAAATGTAACATTATAAGTACTTCTTTTGTTTATTTATAGTTGCACTAGTTTTCTTTTTGACAGTAAACCATCAAAAATTTTGATTATGGTTTTTCCTTAAAATATAAGAAATGATGATTGATGAATAATAATAGATCAGATTTGATCATAGTTTTTCATTAAAATAATATAAGAAAACGCTTATATATGAACCATGAAGAAAGAACATTGTGAAGCGCTTTCTGATGTTATTATTAAATATGTAGTACGATTTCGTACTAGCACACTCCTGCTTACACAACAGTCAAATGACACAATTGTAATAATGGAATATATTCTTGTTTTCAAAACAATTAAATCACTAAAATAAATCTATTCTGATTAGTTATTGCATTTTACGAGTACTTCATTTAGGCTGTCATGTCTCAGATCCCTCATTATTTAGTTAAAGGTAAATTAATCACCAAATAATTAAACTAATTCAAGAAAAAAACACTACCAAGTTCTAGTCCAAGAAAAAGAAGAAAATAGTAAGTAAAATGATTAATGTTGTACGACCCTATGTTGGACAAAGGTGGTATTGATTTTTATTTGGTATGAGGAGTGCCACAAAGCTAATAAGGTCAAACAATGTGGACGGAATATGTTCCTCTTAGGGGCTGCGTGGAATGGGTGTAATGGGAGGGGAAAAATTACATGAGTAATAATTCTGGATTTTTTTTAAAGTTTGGATCTAGGGTAATTAATCAGTGGGGTAATCTATTTCCCTAAAAATGGGGTTAATAATTACCCACCTCCCCCTAGCATAACAATTTCCCCCGTAACAATTCCTCTTCTATACTGCATCTTCTTTTCCCCTGTTATGTACTCTCTCCTTCACCTTCATATCCCTCCACCCAATTGAAGCTGTTGCCACCATTATAGCCGCCTGGTGGAAGCTGCTAGCCGCCATAGCTCATCAATTCCGGCGAATTACGAACAAGTATCTTGAATCGGACCCACTGGTTGAAGAGATAGTTGAACAAATGGTTAGGACTTTTGATCCTTCAACTGAGGTGATGCTCGTGGTGGTCTCAAGTTTATCAATAACATGGTGGTTGCCGCCGATTGCCATGAATTGGTGGTCTTTACCTTAGGATTGTTGCCAAACCTCAGAAAATGAATTATTACTCTCTATATCAATGCTCAAGTAGAATCTACCCCGTTAGATATTACCCCCTTCATTATTTCTAGAATTCCAGGCATGCCCTTAATGTTTTGGATAATAATTTAACCATCTAATCTACTCTATACGGAGTAGTTAGTCGTCGGACATAGAATTTCCACAAATAATATATTCAGTTTGAACTTTGAAGCTAAGAATAAACATCATGCATAAGAAAGAATAATTATATATATGAGTCCCTACAATTATTATCATTCAGAAGAAAAAAAAAATCTCATGTCAAAGAATAAGAAAAAATCGAAGCACTTATTATCACATGCATAAAATATATTCTTGACTTCAAGTTGAAAACATTTATGGTAGGTTCCATTTTCAAATATCAAGTTTGTTCGTTCAATAAAATATATTCTTGGCTTCAAGTTAAGAAAACATTTACGGTAGAGCTTCTAGTAAAATGAAGGATAAAGGTAGGTGGGTATTTTTTTTTTTTTTCACTAGAAGCTCTTTAATAAATACACTGTACTTGTTTTTTTTTTTTTAAAAAAAAAAACACTCTGTACTTGTCTAATCAAAATTCTTGTTTGAGCTCTCTCCATAAAATAGGTAGGTATCCTTATTAATTAATACGAGTAATGTATAATTATTGAGAGTATGAGATAAACAAACAATAAATTAAACAATTATATATATGCTAATAAAAAATATAATTGAACTAAATACATAGATATTGCTATATTAGCATACTAAATAAATACACTCTGATCTTATATATGAGCAGGAGTACCCACAACAGTCAAATGATACAGAAGTACACAGTAGTAATTTGGTGAAAGATGAATGATAGATAATAGGTTAATATTACCTTGTTAATATTTTGTAAAAGATATATCTTGTGTAATTAGGTTTCTCATAATTAGGGTTGTACATACCTATATATATTTGATTAATGAGAATACTCCAATCAAGGAGAATTACACTATTCTACATGGTATCAGATTCCAATTAGGGTTTCTCTTTTCTCTTCTTTGAAAACCCTACACGATCCTCTTGGACCTGCCGTACTCCACCATCTCTTCAACCGTCTCCTACTCTCTCTCATGGCCGGAGACGATACCCCCCTCCTCCTCCTCCTCCCTCAAACACCCCCTTCCACCCGGCGTTTTCCGTCTCCAACATCAAGAACCTTATGAGCGTCTCCCTTAATCATGAAGATGCCCAATATGCTACGTGGGTTGAATTGTTTCAAATTCAAGCCACTTCCTTTAACGTGCTAGATCACATAGAAAGCGACATGGAAGAGGTTAGATGCTATAGTAGTGAAGCAATGGATCTATGGTACAATCTCCCAAGACCTTGTTCACACAATCATTAAACCGGGCGCCACGGCTCTCGAATTATGGACCCGACTTGAAGAGGTATTTCATGACAATAAGCATACGAGGGCGGTATACTTGGAAGAGAAATTTTCCAATGCAAAGCTTTAACATTATGCTAACATGTCCGACTATTGCAAGCACATTAAACTCCTAGCCGATCAACTAGCCAATGTTGATTGCCGGTCTCCGACCGCAAGATGGTTATGCAACTAATTGCGGGACTCACCGAGGGTGAATATGACACCGTCGCTGCTATCGTCTCCCAATCCGATCCAACCCCAAGTTTCAACAAATCTCGGCCGATGTTCTTGTTGGAGGAAACCCGTAAAAACAAGCAAAAAGAAAACGGCCAACAAGCTTATGTTGCAGCCGCCGCTAACACCACGTCACCACCGCCGCAGGCGGCTGACCAGTCTCGTAGTGCTGGTGGTGGCAAGGGTGGTGGCAGAGGGAAGGTAAAAGGGAACAACAACAAAGCCAAGGGCCGTGGACGGGGTCGAGGCTCTAACTCGCAATAATCAAGGTTATGGGCCTAACACACAACAACAACAGGCGGCCCCTCAATGGGGAGCCCAACCCGGTTGGGTCCAGCAGCCTGGTCAGTGGGCCTCACCACCCTGCCCTTACCCAACTGGGCCTGCTAACCCACAACAGCAGTATCGTGCAGCTCCACCTTCCATCTTGGGCCCGCGATCTCAGCAAAACCAAGCATACTATGTGGGCTCGGCCCAGTCAAGCTACGGGCAGCTTATGTCGCCGACCGATTTTGGTCAGGACTACAGTTCGATGAGCTTGCAATCCCCCAACAATGGGTGGTATATGGACACGGGGGCAACATCACACATGACTCGTGATTCGGGTAATCTCTCTAAACTGTTTAATTTGAGTATTCCTCAATTTATTTTAGTTGGTGGTGGCAAACGTATTCCAATGCATGGTTATGGCAATTATACCACTCCCTCCCCTAAACCTTTCCACCTCAAAAATATCCTATATGTTCCTAATATCATTAAAAATTTAATCTCTGTTAGGAAATTCACTTGTGATAATTCTGTTTCTATTGAGTTTGATCATCTCGGTTTTTCTGTGAAGGACCTTCTTTCGGGGACAACTCTAGTGAGGTGCAATAGTGTGGGGGACCTCTATCCTTTCTCTTCAGTTTCCGCTCCCAATGACAATAGTCATTTATCTCTAGCTGCAATTTCTCCTTCAGTTTGGCATCATAGACTTGGACATCCCGGCGATTATGTTTTTGATTTTCTTAGGAAAAACAATTTAATTCCTTGTAATAAGAGAAATAATTCTCATTTTTGTTATTCTTGTCCTTTAGGAAAACATGTAAGACTTCCTTTTAAGTCATCTCCTACTTTCACCTTTTCACCTTTTGATATTATTCATGCGGATCTATGGACATCTCCTATTCTCAGCAAATTGGGTCACAAATATTATTTGGTGTTGCTTGACGATTTTTCTCATTTCCTATGGGTGTTTCCCCTAAAGTTCAAATCACAAGTCTATGATATTTTAATTAATTTCCGAGCATATGTTAAAACTCAATTCGAAAAGGACATAAAATCTTTCCAAAGCGACAATGGTCGTGAATTTAACAATTCCCCTTTTCGAAAATTTTGTGCGAATAATGGCTTAGTCTTTCGTCTTTCTTGTCCAAATACCTCTTCCCAAAATGGCAAAGCCGAAAGAATTATACGCACCATTAACAATATGTCTCGCACCTTTCTCTATGATGCCTCTCTCCCTCTTTCTTTTTGGGTGTATGCTATAAATATGGTTGCTTATATCCTTAACATTCTCCCGTCCACAACCATCAAAAACAAGACCCCAACCGAAATTATTTATAGAAGGCAGCCCACTTATGATCACCTTCGTATTTTCGGTTGCTTGTGTTACCCAAATCTTAGTACCACCGCACCTCAAAAGCTTGCACCTCGTTCTAAACCATGTGTGTTTTTGGGGTTCCCAAAGAATCATAGGGGTTACTTATGCTACGATTTGTCTTCAAACAAAACTATTATTTCCAGGCATGTTACCTTTGTTGAAGATCAATTCCCATTCTCAAATCTTCATCAAATTAAAGAAATTGATTATAGTTTTTTGGAGTCAAATCTGTCACCCTTATACGTGCAGGCCCAGCTACAAAATGGCCCAACTTCAATCCCCAACCCCACTGCTGATCCGCATCCTCCAAACTCCCCCCAACAGCCTACTCCACAGGTGGGTCGCGGGAGTGACCAGCAGGCCCCAGCCCACCTACGGACCCCTCAGCCCAGTCCGCCCCCATCACCCTCTAGCCCACCTCCCTCTCCTATTTCACCCTTTATTCAATTTGGATCTCTTCCAAGCCCCACCCCAATCATCACTCCTACTTCTAGGACCACTGTTCAGCCTTCCCACACTATGACCACTCGTGCTAAGGACGGAATTTTTAAGCCGAACCCCAAATATCAAGCTACTATTATGGTTCATGCTATTTCCCCTCATCCTAAAAATTCGAAATTAGCCATGCTTGACCATAACTGGAATGCCGCCATGACTGAGGAATTTAATGCTCTTACTAAACAGCATACTTGGGATCTTGTTCAATTCCAAGACCAGAAGGGGTCAATATTATTCGTTGTATGTGGTTATTTAAACACAAATATAGGGAAAATGGTGAATTAGAGAGACACAAAGCAAGACTTGTTGTGAATGGCAAGTCTCAACAGGTTGGTGTGGATTGTGATGAGACATTTAGTCCCGTGGTGAAACCAGGGACTATTCGCACAGTTTTGAGTATTGCTATGGGTAGGGACTGGCCTATTCATCAATTAGATATCAAAAATGCGTTTCTTCATGGTGATCTAAAAGAAACTGTATTTATGCATCAACCACCGGGATTTTTAAATCCCAAAGCTCCCACTTATGTTTTTCGGCTCCGCAAGTCCCTTTATGGTCTTAAACGGGCCCCCCGGGCTTAGTATCAACGGTTTGCTAATTATCTCTTGCAGATTGGTTTTGTATGCAGCAAAAGTGATAATTCCCTCTTTATTTTGCGACAAGGCACTAATGTGGCATATCTCTTGCTCTATGTTGATGTACATTTTTCTTACAGCTTCCTCAGAACGACTCAAGTGTGATATTATTGATCTTCTAAAGTCCGAATTTTCCATGACTGATTTGGGTAAATTGAGTTATTTTCTGGGAATATCTGTAACCAGAAAAAAGGACTCCATGATTCTTTGTCAGAGTAAGTATGCAGAGGAAATTATTCACAGGGAAAAGATGGACAATTGCAAACCGGTTGTCACACCCGTTGACACTAAGTCGAAACTTGGGGCTCACGATGGTGAGCCAATGAAGGATCCCTCTCTTTACAGGAGTCTTGCAGGTGCGCTCCCGTATCTCACTTTAATTTCACCCCTGACATTGCTTATGTCGTACAGCAGATTTGCCTATTCATGCGTGCTCATAGGGAACTTCATTTTAACGCTCTTAAGCGTATTATTAGATATATCAAAGGCTCTTCAGACCATGGACTACACTTATACCGTTCTGCTCCTACGAGACTTATTTCATACACAGATTCGTCGCTCCACTTCAAGGTATTGTGTTTATTTGGGTGACAATCTTGTCTCGTGGTCTACAAAGCGACAGGCTACATTGTCCAAATCCAATGCCGAAGCAGAATATAGAGGTGTCGCTAATGTTGTTTCTGAATTGTGTTGGCTCCGGAATCTACTTCTTGAGTTACATTGCCCTATCGGACGGGCATCCTTGGTTTATTGTGAAAATATCTCTGCCATATATTTGTCCAGCAATCCGTTACAACACCAACGTACCAAACACATTGAGATGGACATTCATTTTGTACGCGATAAGGTCGCTCTAGGTGAGATCAAGGTCTTACATGTTCCATCCTCATATCAATACGCAGATATTTTCACTAAAGGGTTACCTCGCCAACTATTCCTTGATTTCAGATACAGTCTCAGCGTTCGTCCTCCTCCCGCTTCGACTGCGGGGGTGTGATAGATAATAGGTTAATATTATCTTGTTAATATTCTGTAAAAGATATATCTTGTGTAATTAGGTTTCTCATAATTAGGGATGTACATACCTGTATATATTTGATTAATGAGAATACTCTAATCAAGGAGAATTACACTATTCTACAATGAATATATTCTAATTTTCACAACTTTTTTTTTTCTTTTTGGAAAAAATGAATCTATTCCATTTCCAATTCATTATGCATGGTGTATTTTCAATCAAACTTCACATCATTTTAGCTGCAAATTGCAATACGTCTCATCATCAGATCCTTCGATCGCTATATAAGTGCAACACATTAAGTTATGTATGCATGCATTTAAAAAAAAAAACGCATTAGTAATTAAGCAAAATATTACTTAAAGTGATTAATGAAGATGTCCACCAGCTCATCGAACTCCAATCTAGGCTGGTCACAACACATAGAGACCATACTCCAAGTCAAGGATGCTGCTAAAAGACCAGTTTGTATTTACAAAGTGCCACGAATACTTCGAGATTTAAAGCCAGAAGCTTACGAGCCTCAGTTAATCGGTCTTGGACCGTACCACCATTGTCGCGATAACCTCTTTCTGATGGAGCACAACAAGCTCATCGCTTCTAAGAAGTCTCAAAAGCATTACAGCTACAACAACGGCGATGATGATGATGATGATGAGGCTGTTGAAAGGCGGAGGCTTGAACACTTTGTAAAATGCCTCTGTAAGGAAGAAATTATTCCCAATATTCATGCGAGCTATGATAGGTACATAGACTTAGATGACAAATTACTTGCTTGGATCATGGTTATCGATAGCATTTTCTTGGTACAATTCCTCCTGGTACGTACATTTGGAAAATATATTTTTCACTAATAAATCGTACACACATTATTTATTATCTAATATCAATTTGGAAAATATATTTTACACTAATTTATTTTTCAATATTAGTTATATGACTTATTTTTCATATTAGTCCTACAGAGTATCTCATGTTGTAATACTTGTGGAACAGAATAAGTGAATTTTATCCTTTCTTATATCGTTTTTTTTTTTTTTTTTGTTATTTGTACAGGGGATTGATGATCGCGAAAATGCAAGCTGTTTATGGGATTCGACAAGAACTCGTTACTTACTAGACCAAAACCAATCTGCCTACCACTCCATACTCAAAGACATCATGAAGCTTGAGAACCAAATCCCAATCTTTGTCTTAAATCGAATCTTTCACTTATCAGCCAGTGACATAACCGGTGACTATGATTATGATCATCCACTCCATACTCAAACACATCATGAAGCTAACGACGATCACTATGATCATCGAATCCCAATGATGCTCAAAATGATCCTACTCAAAGCTTGTTTGAAACTGTCCCCTCTCCCAACCAATGAAACACATCTAATAAGCCACGGTAACAAAGAATACGCACACCTCTTGGAGCTTATGTACTACTTGATTGTACCCAAGGCGGATACTTTGATCAGTCATAGTGAGTATTCAATTGATCAGGAAGGGAAGCGTGCAGAAAACAAAGATCAAGAAAAACGTCAAAAATTTAATTGGTCACCAGATAAATGGTCTATAAAACTTGCAACGTTTGACCAACTCAGGATTGTACAAAAAATTAAACAAATTAAGCCGGTTCAGGTCATTTACAGGATTACTCGCATTGTCATTGAAGTGATTCCATCCATATCAAGCAACTCGTGGAAGCAGAAATCTGAAACCATTGATCCTGAGAAAGGTGGAAATTCGCATAGTAATAGAGAGGGAGCCCCAACGGTGGAAGAGATTGCTATTCCATCAGTGTCAAAACTCGAAAGCATTGGTGTGCAATTTTGCCATACAGATGGTCCAATCACTAGCATAAATTTCGATAAAAGGAGCAGAAAGTTTCACCTCCCCGCTATAACCATCGATGATAACACGGAGGTGATCATAAGGAATTTGGTGGCTTACGAGGCTCAAGCATTCCCATGTCCTTTGTACTTGGCTCGTTACACTGAGCTCATGGACGGGATCATAGACACCCCAGAGGACGTAAAATTGCTAAGAAATAAGGGCATTATCAAGAGTTATTTGAAGAAAGATGAATACGTTGCTGAGCTTTGGAATGGGATGAGTCGATCCATTAGGTTGTCGCGTGTTCCTTCTATAGATAAGGCAATCGAAGAGGTTAACAAGTATTATAAAAACAACACAAAAGTGAAATTCATGAATTTCACAAAAGAGTGCATGTTTGTGGTTGGAGGATTCTTATGCTCATTCTAGCTCTCGTTCTTATGGTTCTCGTGGCTATCCAGTCATTCTGCGATGTCTATCATTGTCCTCAAGCCCTTGCTCCAGTCACCGAGCCAAAATGATGAACTAATGATGCATGATTAATATAATGCTTACAATAAGAACAGGGTGTATATCTATTATACTACCTCCGTTAAATGTTATGTGCAACTTTGGGTTATTATTTTAGAGAAATAAAATATTACAAAGTTGCACATAACATTTAACGGATGTAGTATATGTGTTAGCTATGTTTTAAATATTTAATCCGAGCTCTCTGGATTATATATATATATTGCTAATTATATGAATAACAAATTAAAGGCATCAACTATATTTAGTTGCATCATATATCAACAGGTTTATAAGTGCTATACAAATCTGCAATTTGCGCGATCCACATATTATATCTAAGATTATTGTGCTGGACAAAAAAATCAGCAACATAATCAAATTTCCTTTGGCCATAACTAATAACAATAACAAAAAGACTACATAACACTTACAGAAGAGCCATTAGTAGTACAGTCCACCAAGCAAGAATATAATCCCTTAAATCCTGCTTCCCTAGGGAGCGTAACATCTCTTTCTCGTCTTTGCAATACTCTCAGAAACTCATCAGAGCTAAGACTTCCATCACGGTTCAGATCGAAGATGTGAAATATTATGTCAACCACATTCTTTGTTAGTTGAATCCCACATACCTTGCACCAATTAGTAAAAATTATTCATCAGTTTCTATTTTTTTTCACAACTAACAATTTGATTATATGTTAACAAATCTTTAGTAACATAGTACCTTCTAAAGTACTCGATATAATGAAGATGAGGTGTAAACTAAAACACAAACATAGATGTCAAGAGTAAGAAAAAAAATGGGAGGAAAGTAAGATACGTACATGAGAAGCGGCCCTTTGAAAATCGTCCTTTGTTAAGAGTCCATCATTTGCTTTGCCATGACTAAAAATTGCCAAAGAAAGTGGGCGTAAACGTTTCCTTAGTTCAGCAAATGCCTTGAATTCCTCAAATGTGAAACGTACATTATTTAGGTGAGGATCATTGCTTAGTTCATCAACTCGATCAAGAAACTTAGTTGTATGGTTCAAGTCAGCAGATGCCACCATCGACAATGCAAAGTCTCTTGCAGATATAGTCCCCCGCGACTTGTGGTCATAATGAGCAAACTCCAGCCTAACAATCTGTCAATCCACGGAAAAGGTACAATTATATATTGAATGTGCTTCCGTCTTAAATTGACTACTGATTTACTTTGCTGTTTTCATATCAGCATCAGCAATTTCGATCATCTACTAATTAAAATGATCAAGATGCTGTTAAAGCTAGATGTTACTAGATGACCGAGGTTTAAAATAATTTGACATTTTCGTCAGGTGTATACAGCCAATATAATTGATTTTACCTGAATTTCCAAAATAATACTCTGTAGTCTGTATATTGAAATGTTATGTAAGAAGATTACGGAATAGAAAATTTGTGTGGAATATGCAGGGAAATTAGCGACTTTTATGATGCAAATTGGAGCATGGTACTTTAAGTTGTTTAGACATTAAATTAAGGCTAAAGATTCGAGAGAAGGAAGGCATACTTCAAGATGAAGATCTCTCAAAAACTGAACAAATCTGTCATGGTGAAGAGCTTGATTTCCATCTTTACCAAAGAAATACTCAATTAAGCCACCATTTTCAACAGGAATGCTTGAAACTTTGAGCCCAAAACGACGGCCATCACTATGTTGTCTTCCTTGTCTGTTGTATGTTCGCATCAAATCCATTACCTTTTTGAATTCCTGCTTGTCTATTTCTCTGACAATAAAAAAATAAAAAATAAAAAAAATCAGGAATGTAGAAATCACAAATTATTTCAGAAGAAAATGAAACATGAAGTGTTACCACATACCCATTATGGTCTAGGTCAAACATTTTGAAAGCCACAGAAAAGCTTGATTCTGGTATGCTAAGTAAGGTAACCAAAAATATGTACCTAAAAATCATATGTAACATGAAACATGAATACAAGTTCAAGGAATATGATATATATAATATAACTATATAAGTTTCTCCTGTCAACTGTGACTGTAAAGTAATTGTGTAATCATAAACTTCGTATATCATAGTAAAATAGAGTGATTTTATAAATTGTTCATTATCTGCATTTTAACGCGATACATAATTAAGCTAAATATATGGTCAAGGTTAGCGAGTTAAAGCCTAGAAAAGAGGAAAATATCCTAGTGATTTTGGTTAAGTAAAAGATTTGCAGCTCACTCGGGAAAGGATATGAAGCCATCATTGTTGGTATCAAAGAGCATGAAAAACTCTGAAGGAGCACATTGCAGCTCTCCAGGTGACTTTTCACTCTTGAGATATCCCCCTCTAACATAGTTGGATTCGGAGGGAGGAAACACTGGAACAACTGCCCTCATCAAATCCCCTGGTGTCATCAGATATTCCCCACTTGCAGATCGAGCAGAAGCAAAGTACTCGAAAACCTGATACACGTACAGTTGTCTTAACAAACCTTACTATGTCATAATGAAGTATGTTTGTCGTAAGAGGGGTGTGTAATTTACCTTCTCTGGTAGACTTCGCAGTCTAATGCGTTTCTCATAATTGAAGAAAACTCTTTTCCTGTACTCATCTGAAAAATAGCAAATCTGTGTCAAAAATCAAATTGACAGCAATACAGGACAGCTAGTTAAAGCATTGCATTGCTCATTCTGTTAGCCAAAGGCAAATTTAAGAGTCGCAGTCATTATATAGAAGTACTAGAACTCGATTAGTCATTATATATCCTCAAAAGGAAAGTGTGACAATTGACAAACTTAGAGTACTTAGAGCTCCTATAGCAGTACTAGTTATATGTGTTTCTGATGGTATGCAACAATTACAGGAGGGGCAAATGATCATTTCACAAAAGCAGTGACTTGAAAAGTGTACCTAACAACATACTCTTGTATAGTTGTAGAGAACCTAAATACAGCCTATCCTGTCCCCGTTCTCGGTGAGCCTTGAACTGAACTAAAGACCTCAACCTCAAGTACGGGGAGGGGAAGCAATAATTGAGATCGGAGTATTTACCACATATAAACCCGGAGTCCTAACTGTCAAATTCTCAATGTGTGTTAGGTTGGGGGGTTTTATGAATGTAGCATAGCGCTCACAACCATTATACAGAGGTTGTTTTCATTAGACTCTAGCAGATCATCTATTTGCCACATTACATATGTACATAAAATAACAAAGAGTCGCGATCAGTTATTAAAATCATTTCAATTATATATATACATAGTATACAATAAAGCCAAATAATTGAAATTTTTTAGCTTAATTAAAAGAGAGTATAATAGTCTATTAAAAGATTCAACAACAAAATATAATTCTATCCTTTTATCCATAAAGATTTCATTCAAGTATAATATTATCCATTAGTCACATTATTTATTAATCCTAATCTTACATGACATTTATATGTTTTGTTACAAGATTTACCAATTCAATATATAACAAAACAAAAAGGAAAGGGGCTTACCTTTGAAGAGAAACATAGGCTTCTTCTGAGGGGCAGCTTCCTGAACCTCCGAATACTCCTCATCAACAACTCCTCCTTCATCGGCGAAGGCCATCCCGCCATTGCTCGAAGAACCAGCCCAGTAACAGAGGCCCAAGCCCGACCCAACAACAAAAAGCCCAGATGAGAACAACCTCAACAACCCTGGAGATGATTCATGATCAAGAAAACAAGACTCTGTCTTGCAATGGCCACCCTCAACCTTGGCTCCACATGACGACGACGACGATGACGATGACGATGAAAAAGACCGGTCCGATCCGCTGGAAAATCTCCGGTAGAGAGTGAGTTTGATCAGCCGGTTTAACGGTGCTGATTTCCTCCAAGTTATATGCATAGTGTGAACCTTAACAAAACAAAAATGAAGGAAAATGCAAATTTAGTAAGATAAGATTGAAAATAAGAGCGAGAGAAATGGTAGGATCAGAAGTTTGAATGAAAAAAAAAAGTTAGTTTATCTGTTTTTTATTTAACAGAAAATATCCATTGCATTGGTTATTGGATAAGTATCTCAAAGTTCGTTATAAAATTGACCGTTGGTCTGTTCAAGGCGCCTTTATATTTACGGAGTATTTTATTTTTTTTTCACTCCAATATTTTAGGTGATTGGGGCCTAGTATATTTTCTGCGGCCCAAAAACATGAATGGCCCACGGCCCATCTAATTTCATGGCAAGGTGGTCGTGGTCGTGTTTGTGTTTGATTTCGTATCGATTTGTAGTTGTGGTCGATTTAAATGAGTAAGATTACGTCTGTGAGAATAAGGGATGTCGGCAACAGCAAATCTTGAAAAATAATGTTATCAGGATAGAGACCTTCAAATGATATTCGTCATTTTTTACAAAAACATGGACAATTACATCATCTGAATTCAATAGCTAATTCATACAATATAGTACAAGCTTAGTTCACACATAACTGTATAACACCGCTACCATATACTTTCACCGAATCACCAGCTAACACTACAAGACGTACAAATATGGGTGTTGAGCAAGCGCAAATACTTTGGTGTACTAAACAGGCATACTAATATGATCTAGATTTTCACAAAAGAACAGAAAAAAAGCTGTTGGAGAGTGCAGACTCACATATTTCAAGCTCTGGATCGGATTTTTTCAATTACTTGAACTTGTAGGGTGCCGGGAGGATCCTTCTCCATACAGCATCTGATACACGGGTTTTAACCGAATGGTCAAAACAACACTCAAGATGGAGCCAATGCCACAAACACAAGCCAGTACAAGGAAAGTGATACGGAAACAGTTTGGACCGAAACAAGTGTGTGAGTTAGCAGATAGCATATTTACACCATACTGCTTTGAAACCTCGTGATCGTATATGTAACCAGCTAGCAAACCTGAGAAGAGGAGCGCACCAAGAGGGTTGCCAATAGACATGAAATTGTAGATTACACCAAAGTTCTTCAATCCAAATAATTCAGAGGCAGTGGGGATCATGATAGAGAATTGTACACCATAGCAGAGACCTAACATCCCGGTTGCCGCATAGAGGGTGCCCTTAACTCCCCAAGCAAATAAAAGGTACACAATTATCATAACTACTTGTGTGCATGTCAGCCAGATTGTCCTTGGAAGTGTCCTTGTCCTGCATATTATAAGGCACAGTGAATAAATGCAAGACTTTTGTATAAAGATTAAGACTCCAAGTTCATTATGTAACCGCATATTATGCAGCATCAGAGTTCAGACAAATTCATAAGACAGATACGTATTCAATTACTCCCAAAAAAGGTTTTTAATGAAAGTCGATGTTTTTTTACTCAGAAGTTTTTCCCTGATAAGTGAACTAGAACAGGGAGAACGAGTGCTTTTTTCTTTTTTCTAAATGGTGAGAAATCTAGATTAAATATCTATGGAAGGCTGGGCCAACCAACACTGTCTTTATGGGTCAGCCACTCAAACGAGTCAACCACATAGTTAAGTATGATATTGGCCATACACTCATAATGTCTGCACCTTTCTTCACCTAGTTGAAGCAGTCCAGTAAAAAGTTAAAGGGTAGATGAGTGCTTGGTTCAGAAGGTAATATTCCTTACTATTACTGATGGTACATTTAGCTTTAGTCATACTAGTATTACTATATAAATTATTGTAATGATACTGACCTGACAAAATACTCTGAAACAGAACCACCACCTAAACGGCCCGCAAAGTTGAAAAAGCTGAAGAGGGTAAGGAGGATTGTTGCATCCGGCATTCCATATGCTATCCCAATCTGGGCAAGGTTATTAAGAACAGTTACCCCTGAACCAACTCCAACAAAGTATACCAAGAAAAGAAGCCAAAAATCAGCCTTAACAATTGCTTCCCGAAATGTAAAATCCTCCCCACGTTTAGGTCTCCTCTTCTTCTTTATGGCCCCCTCTCCCTCAGCAAGAAGCAGATCAATGTCTGATAAATCTTCGTTCTCATACAAATTTTTAAGATTTGCTTCAGAGGATGTTGGTGTTAACAATGGTTCTGTTTTTCCATCTTCAATAAACGAATTTAAGGAATCAGTGTCTAGTGCATCATTTATCCCGGTAGCTCTTGGATTTGAGGGGGAAAGTGTCATCTTTAATGGGATCATAAGAGGTGCCATAAGGAAGAGTATCATGACAGTAAGTATGATGTAGGAAATAGGACGACTTAGAGAAAGAAAATCACCCAAAATAGTAGTTGTGAGAAGATAAATGCCCAGAAGAATGCTAGCAACTTGAATGAAAACAAAGTGGCCGTTTTCAGCAGAGTTATCTCGGGAAGATGGACTACAAGGTCGTACGAGGTACATAACGAGGAAGCACAAGATAGGAACTCCAAGAGCAAGGAATAATAAGAGATTGGGAGAGGAGCTGTGAAGAATGACACTGTATATTTCTGTATAAACAGCAGCACTTAAGCCTGAATAGCCTTTTAGGATGCCTGCAACTGTGCCTCGACTAACAGGGAAGTTCCTCATGTTGGTAACAAGCACTGCAGTGCTCAGCCATGCACTGCTATTGGTGCCAACAACGAGTGCCAGCCACAACTGCATAGCAATGAAAGTTAAGTCATCAGATTTAAGCTCTTTTATAAGTTACAGCAATCTCCTTATTATAACCTCTGCTTATATCAACAGCAACAAGTGATGTTTTGCAAAAGTACCAAGTAGAGAAGGAAAGTGATGAAACTAAGAGTACAGTAAGATTTATGTTCTCTACACATGTAAATAACTTATTTGACAGATGCCATCAAGAAATTCATCAGAGGCACTGTGGCTAAGCAACTAGTAGCAAAATTTAACATACAACATCTGCATGTCACTATACAGCTATAAATCATTTTGAAGTTACTTGTTTCGTTGTTCACCCTACATATAGATATGTGTATTTTACTTCAAATTGTCAAATTCTAACCCGAAAAGACTCAAACAATAATGTATCCTGGTTATCTTCAATATAATGTACACTGTACAGCAAACCTTCATGAACATATTTCACAACTAACGCATGCACTAATTATATGTTTAATTTGGTGGCAAAAGGAAGAGACCGTAAAGGGTGAAATAACACGAGGAAAATCATTCTCTGATTTCAGTTTTGAATGATAAGTTAAAGCAAGATCAGAGATGCTTTTCCTTCCAAATCTTTCCAAAATGGATATTTTGGAAGCCTTCCTATCTTGTCTCTCACTTGGGCAATCTAACGGCCACTTAATTATATTCCAAACATTACCGCATCCACAGACATTATTAAAGGTGAAATTGCAGTTTCCAATAGAAAAGAGAGCTAAAGCCAAGAGAGTTGCACAAGTAGCATGTTAAAAAGTAGTTCAAAATTCGCAAAGCAGAAGCAAAACATGATTCTTGCTTATTAATTTATCTCTTTCAATTTCAAATCGAACACTAGTATCATGAAGCATTTACAAATTAATATCTCAAAAGCTAATTACTATAAATTCTGCTGAACCTCTGACATTGACCATTTTCAAATGAGAACTGGGTTTTCTTGACTATAGCTTTCCAATGGAACAAAAGTAGGGAACACTTCTAAAACACACACATACATACATAGATTATGAGAAAGATTAATTTCAAAAGACTTTTTTGAACATCCTAATGAACCACAATAAAGTGTAGAACCAAGAAGCCGTCTACGGAGTAATTAAGAAAAAGCATTGCAATTAGTACAAGCTTATATACTTTATACAGTTCTAATGTCTGGGGGATTTAACAAATGACTAAATATGCAAATATCAAAGAAGTTCACAAGCTCTTCCAACTGGGAAAATTTCAAAGCAACAGAAGTGGCACATTGAAATGCCGCCAAAATGCTCCAAATCAAATCAATTGTGTCAAACTTTTCACCATCTAAAAGTAGTATACGTATTTTGGTAGTTGATCACAAGAATGTCAAACCCAAGAATAATTCCATAAACGGAATAGAAGTGTCTAGGCTAAATACATCCAGCTTTAAAACCTTAACAATACTATTTTGGTGGGTAATGCTCACAAGTCTGATCTATCAATCTATCATACTGTAATAAAGTGGAATGAACACACCTAATGGATCAAACAATCCAATAGAAACAAGAGTCTATTGTTAGGTGCACCCGAGAACAAATACTGTAACATAATATGCTATTAATGTAGAGAAAGACATAATCACACAATGATATGGACAATTGGACACCTTATAAATACTCCCTTTAACTGTACCCACATCACCAAAGATGCCTTAAAATGCATCTCTTTATTTTCAAATAAGACTTATTATCAGATCTTTACCAATTTTTCTCCATAGCTTAACACAAAATATACCATAAACAGCTCCAATACCTCACCAACCAAGACTTTTTGCACCTGTCATTTAGGCCTATCATCACAAAAATATCAATAACATAACATACAGTACCCTGCAATCCTGCATTGCCCGGGATCAAATCTCGTCTACATTATAGCTCTTACGACTATAACTATTACTAATTCACATTTTTATACCTAAAAAAGACACCGAATTTGATCCGATAGAAGCACAAACAATCCACAAAGTAATGAAAAAAGATACTCCAAAACTCAAAAATAATACATCTAACAAAAACCCATATAAGAAAAGGAAAGATATATACCAGCCAATTAGGCAAGAACAAGACAGTGCGACTAAGAGCAAGCCAAAGAACACCATAACCAAAGAAGCAGCAAGAAGCCCCAATAGAAAGAATGATCCAAGGTGGAAATTTGTTGCAGATAATCCCAGGAAGAAGGCCAACATTTTCACCAATGTCATTAGCAACTCCAAGCATTGTTAATTGCCTTTGATTAAAACCTAAAACTGATTTTAAAGAATGTGAATAAAGTGGGAAAGTGTATGGATTTCCTGATGCTATTTGAACCCATACTGCTGCTCCTAAACCCACCCATGGTGGTCTTTTACCCACTTTCAAGTTCATCACCATTAAAACTTGTGATTTCTGCAGCTAATTTTTCTGGGTTTTTGGGGGGTTTTCCTGTTGATTTGTGGGAAAATGCTGGTGAATTTGAGTTGATTCTCAAAGATAGAAGAGAGGG